TGACTACAGAGTCTCTAGGCATCCCCTTCGTCGTCCTCCTGCGGAACGGGCTCGGGAACCATGTCTTCCTGATCTGAAATGGTTAAATAAGGAGTGAGCTACACTAGCCCAGTAAGAACATCACGATATCTCACCGTCACGGAGGTAAAGGTGGGTAGAAAAACACAAAAGACCAATGAAGCATAATTTACAACAAACTCGTTTATTAACATGAAAACCTTTACCATCCACTTATCTCGGTGGAATTTATGAAAACAATATAAGAAAAACAATAACATTATCATAATCATTGAATAATATAAGCTGTAAAACATAACACCTATCACGCCTCTTGTAATTCAATCATTGTACAACATATCTTTTTCTCATTTACCAGCCTACTAGTATCCGTGGGGGTCCATAGGGGTTCCGCTACCCGTTAACCTTTAACATTCATAATCAGTTTCCAGGGCCGTCCCCATACCCCGTCCGGTATGGGCGCCAAAACCATGAACCTCAATACCCCGTCCGGTATGAGGGTGAAACGGGCCGTCCCCATACCCCGTCCGGTATGGGCGCCAAAACCATAAACCTCAATACCCCGTCCGGTATGAGGGTGAAACGGGTCGTCCCCATACCCCGTTCGGTATGGGTGCCAAAACCATAAGATCTCCATACCCCGTCCGGCATGTGAGACCACAATCCCGGTAGGGTTCCCTACGGACCCGGTCCGTCCACCATCTCCCAGGATATCTAGTCAGGCTGACCTCCATAATACAATTATCAGTCTACACAATCTTTCATTTTCCTTTTCCTCAGTCAGCATCATCAATTCACATACAAACAAGCAAAACAGTAATTCATGCCAAACAGACAACATACAGTATCAGTTTTTCAGTCATTCAACCCATGATTAATAAAAACGTAGTATATGCACACAAATCTGTAAAATGAACACATCAAACCTCATTTTGCATTTAAAGCTGTAAACAGGCCAAATAACAGTAAATCACCAATCACACTAGACTCGGGCTCCATTAGCCACCTTAAGCAATTTCACACATTCGTTAATTCAAGAAATACCGTTTTATCATTTTGAACTTTAATACCGTGATAGGAAATAGGGTGAGGGGTCCTTACTTGTTTTCGGGATCCGAATACGATTCACAGTGCGCCTGCAGGCCGTCCCTAATTTTCTCCTGAATTTTTCTCGGGGAACTGAAACACACTAACAGTACCTGCACTTGTTCCAAAAAAAACCCAAATTAGGCCCAGGGCCTCTTTCGGCCCAAATCGCAACTCCGGCACGGCGGCTCCGCCGTGCTCCGGTGACGGCGCCGCCGCTGGCGGCGGCTAGTCGCCTCGGGTTGGCTGTTTTCGGCCGAATTCGGCCACACTCGCATTGGTCCTTGTCAGAAAACAACTCTAGGGCCCTTGAGGGGCCAAAAAAATCACGGAAAAACGGAGTTTACCGGCGGCGGCGCTCTCGGGTGCGGCGGCTCTCCGGCGAGGTTCGTGTTTTGGTGATTCGGCTCCGGTCAACCTGTAGAGAAAAGAATGGTGATCACGGTGATATAAAAATTGCATCGAACGGAGGCCGGGAAGGGCCTCGTCGGAGGCAAAAACCGAGAGGGGGCGCGGCGGCGCCGCTGGGCTTCGGCCGCGTATTCCGGCCGTTTGGCCGGGATTTCGGCCTCGATTTGGCCATAGGAGGAATCAGCGGGGAAAAACGAGTCGGGGGTATGAAATTTACCTCGATCGGCGGTCGGAAATTTTCCCGGTGCGGCGGCGGGTGGCGGCGGTCGGCCTCTGGTTCGTCTTCTCTGGCGAGCGGCGGGCGGC